AAGTAGATGGTGGTTCAACTCCTGGCTTTGTTATTTGTTGGCTGTGTGACCTCAGACACTCCACAGATGGGAGCATGGGCGCCATAGATTACAGAAAATCTTTTCAGAATTATCGCAGCTCTAAAATTCCATGGTTAGAGACGATGCTGGTGTTTCCATATATCTGGATAGGGACAGTTCTAAAAGTATGTTTCCCTTTTTGCCATCCCATTCATTCTTTTAGGGACATATATCGGTAGGTGTTTTTATCTATATAAAAACGCTATGGATTCTTGAATTTGAGCATTTATTCTGAGGGAAAGCCAGAAATATTTGTGCTAAAATGTATCATTGTACTTCCTTTCCATTACCTGGAGATGTTTGACGTTTTGACCAACAACAAATACTAGAGCTCTCCCTCCTGGGTAGTTCCCGGGGGCTGCAGATAGATGTAATGGCCTGGGTGAAAGGCCAAAGTGCTATTGTTTCAAATACCCAGATACTTGGGACAGATTGTCTTCAATGCTCTCTTTTTCATAGAGATGTGAATAGAAGCTGGTCCTACGTAGCACTCAGTGAGGCATCAATTAAAAAAATAAATAAATTGAAAAGAAAGGTTTAACTTCTGGTGTTCACTTGGGCGCAGCACTTAAAAATTGGGTTACTCCCACTTTAGAAATAGAGAATAATATTTTTGCAGTAGCATATTTTACAGGTATTTTAGATAGGAGAGTGTTCTATTTTGCGTACCCTAGGGGGGTGTCATATATTAATTGCTACATTCTATGTATATTTATTTAAGAGAAACCTATTTGATAATATTTAAGAGTCAAATGAGTCATCTTTTCTCTTTAATCTCCTGGCTTTCTCCTCATTCTTGTTTTCAGTCTTCACTTTCAAGTGATATAAAACCTAAATTCTAGTATGTCCTTGCTGAAACTCATGGTGCACCAATGCTCCATTCACCGCTGTTCCTTACAACAAAGTCACCATCCCTAGGAAGGCTCAATTTTCAAGACCAATGGCGACTGGAAAAGGATTTATAACCAAGTTCTTTGAATCAGAATAAGTCGATTTCCTCATCAAAAATATTAGTTACCAAGGTCTAAATGAGGTCATTTTCAAATGCCAGGCAGAAACAGTTGTCAGTGGTCTACCCTGAGTAAATCCTCTAACTATAAATTTCAGAATGAACCAAGGCAGAATTTTTTTTAAATCATAGCACTGAAAAAATTAAAACTGATCATATCTCTGCTTAAAAATAGTGGTTAAAACAATAACACCAGTGACTACTGGAGAAACATTTTTCTCTGATATCCAATGTACCGAGTTCATCATTAATATGTGTTCTTGCCTGGTAATACCAAAAGCATATATATATATAAATACATTTCTCTCTATATATCATTAAAAGTTGCCAAAATAGAAGGTATAAGATTTTGTAAGTGCAATGGAAATATTTTGTAGGATATGTAAACTGGAGGCTGCACCAAGTTGCTAAAAAATGATTTGGTTAAAGGGTAAATACACCTTGTACATCATAATGAAAGTCTTATAGGTAGAGGTGGAGATTAACACTTCAGGCTGTCTACAGAATATTAATAAAATTCAATATATTTTCTAAAAGGTATAATTTATATTTTGTGGAAATGAGACCCTTTTCTAATAAAATTCTTCTGTCCTTCATTCTGTTCATATAATTTTGCTATAAATCATCCTGTAGGAATTTTCCCCCCTAAATATTCATCTCAGGGAAAACCTATTTAAATAAGCCCTCTTAGCAAGATCTTTCAGAATTAAAATTACACCATGAGTGATACTCATCCAATATGTTTCCTTGTATAAGATTTTCTTTTGCTTACAATAATATTTTTGCTAAATCATATTATGTTAAAATTGCTGATTTGCGGTGACTTTGATAGTAAAGAAACACTGCTTTTAAAGATCAACAAATTACCGTGGCCTTTTTAATTGTACCATCTCTGAGTCTGTACCTTTGCAGCCCCTTTCTGCTCCCCATCTACATATATATAGTGAGGAAAAACCTAAGGGCATTATTCTCAGCTTCACCACAAAGAAAGAATAAGAAGGAAGAAAAATTGCTGCTGGATATACTAGGTTTCCTTGGTTTCTGGTAAACTGGAACATTATGCTTTCATAGTCATCTGAAGCTAATTTCACTCTACTGTCTGGTAGTCATTAGAATAAATTCTTCTATTTTATTTATGATAGAAATATAATAATAAGTAATTTGCTTTTTTTAGGATGTGAGATAGAATATGGAGAGTAGGTAGATGTGTCAGGCATTCACACACACACACACACACACACACACACACACACACACACACACACATTAATGTCAGGTCCTATGCAAGTTCTCACAGTCAGGGGTGTCCCTCGAGGGTATTACAGGAGAGTTCTATGGTCACACAGACTGACTCTAGAGCTCTGAGAAGGTTTTTGATGGGGTAATTAGCAAACCTCTTGCTTTTGTAAATTATCAAGTGCTTGACAAATGAATGTTCACAGGCTTTAATCTGTTTCTTATGTCCGTGCTGTAAGGTAGGAGGAATAAGCTTTACCATCCCCATTTTCTATGTGGCAACTGGAGTTTAGTGGGGTTAAGCCACGTTCCAAGATGATAAAGCTCCCAGGACTGTTTTTGATGCAGAGTCCAGGACTTCCCTGCTGTGCTTCTGTCAACTCACCTTTTCATCCTCATGGGCTCTCTGGCCCTCACTTCTTGGCCCTAAGCCTCAAGTAGGAGATGAACCAGGGCTCGGATTAAATGTAGACATTTATTGTTTGTTGTGGGCTATATCTGAGAAGCAGTAGCGTGCACAGCTTCCAGCATCCTTGAAAGCATTGTGTGCCCACTAATGCCTCTGTGTGGGACATGGGACATCATGGGATGGAATATAAATATGTTTGGGAACAGAAATCACTGCCCTGACCATCTGTGACTTCCAAAACCATTTAGCTCCCTAGAGAAGAGTGTGAAGTAAAGAGTGGTGGCCATCCCTCAGTACAGCTCTCAAATATTTATTGAGTGCTAACACTATTTATAAAGTATAATATTTAGAAAATACTAGAAATTATATACTATTATACCACAATTATAAAATATAGTATTACTATGAGTTGAACACTATTCTAAATATCTAAACATGAATAAATCCACTTAATCCTCAAAATAATGCTATTGTTATTGTTACTGTTATTGATTACAGCAATTGTCTTTTTTTACTTACTTAAGGAAATTGAAGCACAGCGAGGTTAACTTACTTGTGCAAATATAACCAGGATATGAGGGACCCGGCCAGAACGTGGGCTGTGTGGTGCTGCCTCTCAGGATCTGAGGAGCTGTGCTAAGTGGTGAAGATACCCAAATCAGCAAGGTTTGCTTTCCAGTAAACCCAGAGTCTATATGGGTGACAAACTTAACTGAAGTGCAGTTCCTTGTGAGAGTTGCCACAGGAGAGGCAGGGGCGAGGTACAGTTGACACACAAAGCCTAGCACACCGTTCCGGGGCTCTCGGGGAGGCATTTCTGGATGCAGTGAGGCTTCCCCTGAGCCAAGAAGGATGAGTGAGAGCCTGTCACCCTTTCACACCTGGGCAAGCTGACCCCAAGTCCCAGGAATAGCACCTTCGAAGCACGCAGGCAAGAAATGACACAGTGTTCAGACACTCCCAGATTTGGCGCAATTGGGGCACAGAATGCCAGGCAGTGATGAGGAGAAACTGAAGCTAAAAAGGGAGACAGGAGCCGGGTCTCGAAGGGCTTTTTAGAACACACACAGTAGGTTGGATTTCATCATGGAGACCATGGGGAGCTACGAAAGGGTTTTAAGTGGGAGAGTCATGAGATTTGTGTTTTAGTCAGAGACCCCAGTCAGCGGAGAGGTGGGATTAGAGGTGAGATGACAGGCAGTCAGACTCTGAGAAATGATGGGGGCATCTTAAACGATCTGAAAGAGAGAATCTGAAAGAGAGAACTCTGGGCTTTCACCCATTATTCTTAGGATTAATCTTATTTTTTGAAGCATCAATGATGAGAGAGAATCATTGATCGGCTGCCTCCTGCATGCCCCACACTGGGGTTTGAGCCTGCAGCCCAGGCAAGTGCCACAACCTGGAATTGAACCGTGACCTCCTGGTTCATAGGTCGATGCTCAACCACTGAGCCACAGTGGCTGGGCCCTAGGGTCAATCTTACTAACATCATTAGTTTCCTTTAGTATTTTGCCTAGATTGTTCAGGTTATTCATCTGCCTTGGAGGAGAAAGACAACATATCAGTTTGAATACTTTCTGCTTCAAGTAACAAAAACCACAGTGGAAATACTTAAGCAACAAGGCAAATGTATTATTTTACATAGGCTTGTTTGAGTAAGGCACCTCTAGGTTTGGTTAATGCTGTAGCTCAATGACAACATCAAGGAATAATTTTCTCCCATTTATCTGCTGTAGCTCTTCAGTGTCACCTGCGTCCCCTTTGCCTAGGTGTCCTCATGGTCTCAGAATGGCTGCCACCATCCCAGGAATCAGCATCAGACCAGGGAAAAGCTCAGCCTACCCTGGCAGATGTGGCTACATATACAGATTTAGGGTCCTTGTAGCAAGGAAGGAAGCATTTGGAGAGACAACTAACAGTGCCTGCACAGAATGCAGAGAGTAAACATTCAGTTTCTTGCATTAAAAGAATAGGAGTAGGATCACTGGGTCAAATGGGAGTTCCATTTTTAATTTTGTGAGGAAACTCCATACTGTTTTCCAGAGTGGCTGTACCAGTCTGCATTCCCATCCCCAGTGCACTAGGGTACTCTTTTCTTCACATCCTTGTGGTTTGTTGATTTGTTGTTGATAATCATTCTGGCAGGTGTAAGCTGATACCTCACTGTCATTTAGCTAAGATCTGAAAACAGCCATTGTGCCCATCAGTAGATACATAAGTGGATTAAAAAAGCTGTGGTATATTTATACATGATAATACTAAGCAGCTGTAAAACCGAAGATCTTGCTCACTTTGGTAGCACATATACTGACATTAGAACAATACAGAGAAGATTAGCATGGCCCCTGTGCAAGGATGACACGCGTATTAGTAATGAGAGAGCCCAGACCTGGGAGATTGGTTTTCTGAGCCCAGAACAGCTACAGTGCGGACTCTTGCCCGCCCTTCTATCGGGACAAGTGACCCAAACCTCAGAGTGAGCCCAGGGTTTGTTTTGGGTTAAAATTAGTGGTACCTTTTGTAAAGACAAATGCAAATTAAAAATAAAAGGCTTAATTTTTTTCTTGTTGAAAATAAGGGAAAATAATAAGAAAAATAATGGCTTCCCCTCCTGTTTCTCAGAGCATTTACCTTAGAAAACTTATTACATGTACTTTCTCATCTCTTCGAAATACAGTTGAGTCTGTATTTGAACTGCACAGGTCCACTTAGATGGGGACTTTTTTTCAATAAACATACTGTCAGCCATCCATGTCCCTGGGTTTCACTTCAGTGGATTCAATAAACCGCAGATGGGAGACAGTATTTTTTATTCCTAATTGCAATTTGTGGATGTGAAGGGCCGACTGTATGCATTGTTCTGTGCCATCTCACATAGAGACACGAGCATCCCTGGATTCTGGTATCCTTGGGGCGTGGGAGGGGCAGTCCTGGGATCAAGCCTCCTTGGATACTGAGGGACAACTAAGTTTTGGGGAATCAAAAGTTATACACAGACTTTCAACTGGGGTTGTGCCCCTGACTCCTGCATTGTTCAGGAATTAACTGTATATAAAAACCCTTTTGTAGCTTTCTGACATGGGAATGTCATTCTCAAAGAATCAGTCATCTCTTTAATAAAGTGAAAACATCAGGAAAAATAGTTCCCATATCTCCCAGTAACTGTGGGAGGGTAGGAGCCTAACTCAAGTGAGTTCCTTGTTCCAAGTTGCATAACTACCTCCTGTCATAAAGATATAAGAAATTTGTCTTTTCTCTGGATAATGCCTATTAGCAAAAAAGAGATGGTCACCTCATCAGATGAAATTAGGGTGAACTCCTTGTGGCAAATGGTGCTGTCAAGTCCTCTGTCTTGAGGACTAGTTATTGTGCATCTCAAGAACATGTGTAATCTTTCAACCCTTCGACAGTTTGACCAGTAGCTATGATCACCAGGGGGCAGACGCTCCAACTGGTAGGTTAGGTTGCTGCTGGGTCCCTGTCAGCCCCAAATCTGGTTCACCAGCACCAGATTCCCTTTCAATGTGCACGAATCCGTGAACCAGGCCACTAGTTCAATAATAAAAGTGTTTTCGCCCTAACCGGTTTGTCTCAGTGGATAGAGCATTGGCCTGCAGACTGAAGGGTCCCAGGTTCGATTCTGGCCAAGGGCATGTACTTTGGTTGTAGGCACATCCCCAGTAGGGGGTGTGCAGGAGGCAGCTAATAGATGTTTCTCTCTCATCGATGTTTCCAACTCTCTATCCCTCTCCCTTCCTCTCTGTAAAAAAATTAATAAAATTTATTTAAAAAAATAAAAGTGTTTTCTTTCTCTACTACCTTTGTGGAGAGGTTTCCTGTGTTGGAAGAATATTTTGATTTTTAATTATATTTCTTCAACACTATATTGTTATATTGATACATTATCTTACCTACTTATATTTCTACACATCTATTCCTTCCTTCTTTCTTTCCTTCCTTCCTTCCTTCCTTCCTTCCTTCCTTCCTCCTTTTTTCCTTCCCAGCTGTCTTTTATCTTTTTTTGTTTTACTTTTTCTTTCCCTCCCTAAATTGGCATGTAAGTCTATTCTTCTCCATCTAAATTATTCAGTATAGATGGATTAGTACATTGAAAAGATATATATCACAGATGTTTTGAGAAAAGGTGATAGCATGGATCCCAAAAATTAAAACACTGGCTTAATCCAAAATGTGCTTTTTCTTGCAGTGAGGAAGTTTTAGGGCTGGGTCCTCAGGTGTTTAACCTTGAAAATTTGAAACAAAAGAAGTTTCTGGACATCACAAAGCAAGGTGTTCATTAGAGGAAACTGGTAAATGTAAAAAATATAGACTTTAATTCAGAGAGGTATTAGGTTGGAAATTGTAAAATGCCTTTAGTGTAGTATAATAGAATAATATGCTGTTATATTACACTAGAGGCCCAGTGCAAGAAATTCGTGCACTGGTAGGATCCCTAGCAGCTGCCAGCTGCCGGCCAGGTACTGCTTCCCTTTCCTCGGCTAGCCCTGCCCCCTGGTCAAACTCCTGGATGACCTCCCAGCCGAGGGGACAATTTGCATACTATGCTTTTATTATATAGGATTTTATACCATAATCATTCATATAAGTGGGTATCTATCTATCTATTTATCTATTATCTATCATATTTCAAGAGCCATTTTATTTGTCTTTTTTGGGGTGGGAAAACCATTCATTTGAATACTGTGACAAATCCCAAGTACTAACAAACAAAAAAACCACAAATTATTACCATTGTTCATTTCCAAGGCATCATTCTTAGGTTATAAAACTTACCCAAAGAGCACACTAGCAAAACCAGTCTGTTTAAAAAGACTTATTAAAGAAATACACAGAACCTTTATAATGGTTTATGCAAGTGTGTTCTGATCCAGTTTCTATTGATACAATATAAGAAGGGATGAGCTAATGTGGCTCCCAGAGTCCTTGGTGGGAGGAGGTTTGTGGGAGAAACTACGAGCCTAACTTAAAATCTGTACACCATTTATGTTCCTGAAAGTTTTAATAAGTGATAGCAGCTGTGTTCCTCATTGAGTATTTTCCTTTGCTGGCATAATAAATACCGTTTTGAAGCCAAAATGCACATCTGAAGTAAACAATGAACTATTTCTTAATTCTCTAAGAAGGCGTAGACTCTGAAATTGTTTGCACAATACTGTGACAATTTCTGAACCTTTTCCACCTCTGATATTTGACCCTGGTCTTGCCAAAGACCCATAAAGCAACTTCTGACTTAAGAATAAATACAAATAAATTTCTCACATTTTGCATAACCACAGACATACTTCCACGTTGGACAGCACTATTTAGTACTACCTTAGGTCTACTGAAAAAATATCTATTTATTTTTTTACCACAAATTCAAAGCTCACCAGTGCTACTTTTCTTAATTAAGCTGGGCTGCTCTCACAATTCAAAAAGCTTCATTTTTTTTATCTTAAATTAAACTCCCTGTGCAATGCAGTGACCAAAACAAATAATCTATGACCTACAAACAAGACACTTGCATTCCCAGAAGAATTACGTTCTTGTTTTCTCTAGGTTATACATCTTTGAACCTCTCTTTGCCGTAACGACCTTCTGGTGCTCATTAGCATGCTGATTACCATTAACACAGCTATAATGCAGCAATTTTCTTGGTGTATGTTGAGGAGAAATGCTCATCTGAATGTAGTCAGGGGACAAAATTAACTGCATAAATCTACTGCGCAAACTGGATCTCGTCCAACTTTGCACGCGTCGTCTTTCCTCTCCTAGTTGTGACATCATCATCCAGATTCCCACTGACGGTTTAATAAGCATCTCAGGGTTTCCCATTTCATTTCCTTTCATCTCTGTATGTTACATTTCAAGTTAATTTCAGGAGTGCTTGACCACCTTATTACCATGACTCATAATATATATTTATTTACCTTTCATCTTTTAGCTCTGTTCCTTAATGGCTCTTTTAGGAGATTCATATCTACTTTACTTTTTACATATATTTTTTCACATTTATATCTTTTTTAAAAAACATCAGCTAATAGAGTAGGATTTCACTACACCCGTACATTTATGGAGGTGAGAGCAACACTGAGCTATGTAAGCCATATGTATTTTAGGAGGGAGGCATAAATGTTATTCTTTTGCAAGGTAGAATTATATGACTAGTCATGGAAGGAAATGAAGTGTTTCATGGCAAGAACAAGAGCTATGAGAGACCTGGACTTTTTTTCTGGTTCCTGTCACAGGCATTTGATAGTTCTTGACAGCACTGGGCTCCCAGCATGTATTGAGGATTGATAACTCTCAGCCTGCAGGTTAAGAAGCTGATAGGAAAGCTCATGTGACCCTCTGAAATTTATATTCGAAATTGTCCTTTGAGGATGGTATTTCAAATATTCTAGCCAATGAGCAAATGGCACCAAGGAAATGATAAAATTTGCATTACTGGAATGATATATGTCAGAGTCAAAGTCACTATTAAAATAAGAGTTGATGTGATCACAAAATAAACCACAATATGCATGCTCACATTAAAAAGGGAAGAAAAAGCTATGCATTTTATAATCAAGAATGGGCTAACATTCAAATTTATATTTTTTTAAAAAAACAATAAGCTAGGGCCATTTTTTATTTTTAACACTCGACAGAAACTCTATGTGTGCTTTTCCAGTTTAAGGAAGCAGACTGAGAACCATTCATTTGCTGCCTCAGGGTGATTAAACTCAATGATGAGTCTCCCTCTGGTAATTTCCTGGCATGGAGGGAGCTGATCAAAGGATATGGTAGGAAAAATAAACTCGCATGCCATTTCCAATCCACTCTGATCCACTCTGTGTTAGTAATATGAACAAAGTGCTGTGGGCGCTCCTGGAAGGGGAGATTAATTCAGATTCTTCCCTGTGGGAATAGAGTTGAGGGGCATGCAGAGAGGATGTGGGCTGATGTTAAGGAAACAGGAAATATTTGAATTGAGTTTTGAAGATGGAGTCGAATTCCATTAGATTAAGAGGGGTGGAGGAGAGAACCCTCTCTTCTCACTTTGACAATTACAACTGTAGAAGTAGAATCACTGAATGTAGAAGTTGGTGAGAACTGCTCAGCCCTCCAATTACAGAAGAAGCACTACTCTCTATGGCTCTGACCTGTTTGTGTGATTGCTGACAGGCCATTAGGTTTGTAAATACATCATTAATGCAAAGAATGCTAGGGGACTTGTTAATATTCCCAATTTGTGCTTTGTATACAAATAAAAATTGTAATATGATGGAACAGACAAGAAATGTATTTGCATTTGTCATTAGTCTCACATAAAATATTTGAATTTAGTATATGTGGACGTTCATTCTTCTGAAAGTTTCCTCAATAAGATTCAAGTTCTGCTTTGAATGAG